AAATCTTCAACTGGGACTGAGGAAGAGACATAGACAGGAGTGCACGAAACCTAAAAATACATTGGAGGGGGGGGGGGGAAGGGTGGAAAAAAAAAATTCTTTTTGAAGTGTTATGCTCAGCTTAAAAAAAAAAAAAAAAAAAAAGAGAGAAGAAAAACCCATCCCATTTATTTAACCTTGTAACTCCACTGCAGGTATCAAGTTCAAAGCTGGATGGGCAATTTTGCTTCTTGGTCTTTGACAACTGAGTCAGGGACACTGCTTGAAGGGGAAAAGGAAAAAAAATAGGGACACCTGGCCTCATGGGGAAAACGAAGACCTAAAAATCTATTAATATGATTTTAATTATCTGTGTTCTTGATGGAACTATCACTATTCTTTAAAGCAATGAATTTACTTTTTTTTTTTTTTTCTTCCCCTCTTTCTCTCTTTAGGTATTGGAGAAATTTCTATGGGAAAACATTCACAGTACACTTTTTATGCTCAGGGTTCTATGAATTCATTAACCAATTAATCCTCAGATTTTGGCTGTAGTTAAATACATGTTCCCATTGCACAGATCAATAATTGCACAGATAGGTTAAGTGTTCTTATAAAGTAGTTACAATTCCCAACTTTGTGTCTTATTATGCTTTTTCTCTGACCTTGTTACATCTAGTTATACTAGAGACGGGATGCAGAAATCAAAGAATTGCTCTGAACTCATACATATGACCTGATAGTCTTAGTGGAATTGTAAATAAACGTACATCATCTCTCTATAAACAACCTGTTCTGAAGGCATTTCCTTAAATATAAGACTTGAACTAAGCTAATTGTATCTGACTTGCATATTTGTGTCTAACTGACCTATTGTTCCTTTCAGTCATGGAACTACTTAGCAAGCACACCTGTATACTTAATAAATTTAAAGATTTAGCTCAAGAGGAACAAGTAAGACATACTTAGTCAGCGTGAGGACCAAGATAGAGAGACATGGACCTGTTAGAGTGTGTCCAAAGGAGGGTCACAGAAGTGATCCAAAGGTTAAAACATGTTCCCTAAGGAAACAAGCTGAGAGCAGGCGCTTTTCAGCCTGGAGAAGGACTTGGGTTGACCTGATAACAGCCTTTGAGTATGTAAAAGTGGGATATAAAAAAGAAGAGAGATTTTAGCAGAGTCTGATGTGATAGGAAGGGAAAATTGTTTCAGACTAGAAGAGAAAGATTTAAACTGGATATGAGGAAAAAGGTGGGTTTTTGTTTGTTTTTATAATAAGGGTAGTGAGTCACTGAAACCAACTGCCCAGAGAGGTGGTGGAAGGCCTGTCCTTGGAAACAGTCAAGTTCAGGTAGGAACAGGCTCTAAGCAACCTGATAGTGCTGTAGGGGTTCCTGTTCATTGCAGGGAAGTTGGACTAGATGGCCTTTAAAGATCCTTTCCAACTCAAACAATTCGAAGATTCTATGACTGCTCGATAACCAAATCTGTAAATGAACTGCTAGCAATAATTTCTACTTCTACAACTACACTGGCAGGTGAGTATTTTCCTACACCCAAAAGGCTTCAAACCAGATCCAGAGAGCACAAGGCAGGCATCCCCTTTTCAATGGCTAGCCTGTATCTCTTCTAAAACATGCAAGAAATTGACTAATATTAAGTTTATGAAACAAAAGAAAGGGATACAGAAGAGAACAAAAGCTAGAGCAAGAGTCCTTCACATGATGCACTTGTTCACATCCTTTATGCAAGTCACTGTTACCAATAACAGTAAATTGTACCAAAAGGTGTGGGTTTTTTTTTCATAAATGATGGTTTATGCACAATATCAGTGAGTGCAATGAGCATTAATTTTACAAGTAATAAATTCTGATTCATGTGAAAAACTTCTGGAGTTGCTTGAGTCATTATTACTTCTCCATAAAAGAACAGAGTTCACAAGAAATGTTAATTTGCTTCTTTGGGGGGCATGTCAGAGCAGTACTCTTTAATAATGTACAATGCAGAACAGACAGAGTAGGAAATGTAATGAAAACTTTTGGAAAACTGAAACTTTTTAATCCTCAGTTTAGATAATACTAAGAATTCCGAGGCCTTATCTAGAAGCCAGCTATCCTTAAAGACTACTTAAAGCATCCAGCAAATGCACCCCGAATTGGCCACACTAAATGGAAATTTTCACTTAAGACTGCGGACATATTTAACAGGACAGAAGGCACAGCCAAGAGCTTGTAGTTCACAAATACCCTCTATCTAATAAAAATGCTTTTTAAGTATAGTTCTGAATAATAATTTCAGTAGCAAAGAACACTGCCTGAAAGCTTGAAAAGAATGAGACTGAAGTAAAATTAAAACATAAATTTAAGAAAATTCACTTTAAATAATGAACACATTATTGACATAATATGCATCCCCCACAGAGATAAAATCATTAGTACTTCCTACCTTTCATTCTCTTCAATTCTTATTCCTTATAACCACAAACTGGTGTCATCTATACAAAGAAAGTGAAAAATCTTGTGCTACATAATTTGTTCAAGGTATTAAAAAAGAAAATTGAAAAAGGATAATGGTCTCTTCTAATCAATATATGCTAAGCACTTACAGAAAGTTGAAATCAGGAAAAAAAAAAATCCAGAACAGAATTTACTGATCCCGTGGAAATATTATTCTAAATGGGACTCTATTAATCAGACCTGAGCCAATGCAAACTTCTAATAAGTTATGAGCACATTTCCTGGGACATCAGGCATGCTGCCGTAGGCTCTCTGGACACTTAAATTTCACGGTTTTTTAGCCATGCTCCTCTTCCTTCACTACAATTTCCCTCCCAAAATACTCTCAAGTTTTGTCAGCATCACTTCAGCTCCACCATTAGAATCCACAGAGAAGGATCACTGCAGACCTATTTATTTATTTTTCTATTTTACAACAGGGAATTGTGTTCTTCCTAGCAGTCTAACTACAAGGTTAATGGTTGATGTGCTTAATATTTCTTCTAATCATCTCTTGCAGTGCTGCATGTTAGTGCAACCCCTAGAGAAGCAATGAAGGAAAGATATTCTTGTAAAACAAATGCAGCAGGAAAACAAATGCGTCCATCTGATGCATGGTTCGTCTTGTCTACACGTAACACTCTGCTCCTTTACCTGCTTGAGACCTCAGCTTCTACCTGAGGAGGAAAGACAGATAAATACAGAAGTCTCACATGCCTTTCACTTACCTAAAGCTTCACGTGGAAAATGTTATTCTCTTTCTCCTCACTGATTGGCCATGCAAACAGATCTGAGATCAGCTTAACCAACCTTCATGAATTATTTTCGGGAAGTTTTTTGTTTAATTCCTAATTCCTAAGAGTTCTTTCAGATTTTTAAGAAAATAACGTTAAAAAAAAGGCAGTATTAAACTCTGTGACCTTCTGTTACAGTGAATTTCATCAGTGCCAACTGGCCATGAAAAATAGCATTTCTTTTAGTTGGTTCTAATTTGTTCCCCTCTCTTTCTTAAGATAGTTCAATATTATTTCACCACAGGGTGGGATTAGAAAGAAAGGCTTGTATGTTACAGGAGAGAACTATCAATTACAAATACGTAACAGTCATACTTAAATTGTTACGGATGCCATCTGAGCATGGGAGAAATGCCAGGAAGGCCCATTGACTGTTGCTGAGATTGGTTTCTATTTCTGGACTCTTAATGTCATTTGTTTTCACTTTTACTGCAGCTTCTTATTCTTCAGGTCTTTCTGGATCATTTTTCAAGTGAATACTCCTGACAGAGAGAAATTAACAGTAATTTTGTGAATCTCCATGTTTCTTTTATACAGAAGAAGAGGCTTTTTTCTCTCTTCGGATAATATTTGGATGTTCTGATTTGTCAACAAATAGTAACTTTATATTTGAAGTGCAGGAACATGTAATATCCTCAAGTACTTCAATTCCCAAAATATAATGGGCAGATTCTTTGATCATATTGGCAAAGGCAACTCCTTACAGAGGGGCACTTCAGTGAGTTACTGACACAGATATGGAATCTCTATGTAACGATACAAATTCCTGGGTTGCTTCCTAATTTACATGAGATGAGGCAAAAAAAAATCATTAATATTTATTTAAGTCTTGTTACTTATGATTATTGTCATGTAGGTTTTTAAAAGATCTGCCTAACCATAAGCTCAGTCTACTCAAGGCTGGCCAGATAAATATTTAATGATAGTAAGACAACCAGCCACAGGCTTCCACTGCCTAACTTATGTAGGACAGCACGTTCCATTTTATCATGCTATTTAAATATGAACAAGAATTAGATTCTCCCATTTTAAAATGATAAATTTACAAATTATTCCGCACCTCATATTGTTGTAATCTTGAGGAAAAATATATTCTCAAAGTGCTGAAGTAAAGCAACCCACTGACAGACCTATGAACAGACTATGTGCTGCAAGCAAATGTTCCTCTGCCACTGAGCTAGTGTCCAGGCTCTAAGAGGCTACTGTAGTTGACATGTCTACTCACTCTTTGCTTAACCTGGCGTAGCTTCAAACAAGAAGTCATCCAGAAGAGTGTTAGGACATCTGTCCATTAGGAAATAGACTTGCTTCAGTGACCGCCAAATAACCTTTATATGCAATCTTTAGTCTACTGCCAACACGAAGGTTCTCTGTACATTAGAGGAGGTCCAGGTTAATAGGACCATTTGAATTTTAAGTAGTGGCCCAGGCAATGATTCCATCTGTCCTGTCATACTTTGTGTGAAACATGCACTCTTGGGCTATGTCAGCACTGCTGAATAATTGTGTTAATCTTTCCCTTACTTAATGGAATATTTTGAGGACTAAATTGGTACTTTTTTTTTTTTTTGCCAACTGTGAAAAAAAGTATTACACACCTATTCCTTCATTCTGTTTCTCGATCACTAATGTGTGAATGTGTATGTGTCTGCAAGTGTCTATGTGTATATATAAATAGGTACACATGAAGATAGAAATAACTTAATTTGGTCATACACAAACAAATCATTAAATATTTACTGCATTTCAACAGTGCATGTGGTGGCCTTGAATATCTTATCACAAAGGAACAAATGCCAAATCAGAATCAAGAGTTATTCCACTGGGCAAAATAAATACAGAAATTTTGTTCAGCATACAGCAAGGATTTTTAAGTTGTTATGACATTCAGTTGAGAAGTCAGGTCTTACCTTTAGCCTCACTACACAAAGCTTAAAAAGTGGCTGTGAAGTTAAGTCAACCCTTAGAGCAACCAGTGTTATCAGAGTGAAGTAACTGGGACTGCTGCTGAGGTAGATTTAAACTCCCTTTAAACTTGCGTTACTGATCTCTTCTGTTTCTTGAGCCATCCTTTCATGCTCCTCACTTAAAAAGCCATTATGCTACAAGAGGGAGATGGCAGTGCCTAACAGTGATAAGACTTCTTGGGCATGACCTGAAGAGGAAAAATAAAAAAGACAGAAAACAAAACAGAAGGAAAAATAATGTTGAATTGATCATTTCATTGGCACCAGAGAAAATACCATGCTCTGAAATATCTCTCTATATATAACATTAGAAATCTCATCTAGTTTAAAAGAATACCAGAGAATAGTTTTCCTTCTCTTTCTTCATCTGCCCAGTGAGTAATAAGTATCAAGCTAAATTTTTCTAATCCCAAGTCCTTATTCATCTCTTTAAACACCCAGCTACTTACTCTCTTTCTCTCAAACTCACTCTTTAACATTTTTCAGGTTTTTCCACCTCTTGGATTTCCTGGTTCTTTCTGGTAATGTCGTACTATACATGTAGCACTAGCAGAAGATAGTGCTACATGAAGTCTTTACAATTTATCTTCTCCTGTTCTCCATACTTCAGAATCATGTCTTTTACTGCACTCTTCTTTTTTCCGTTCCTTTCCCATAGAGAAGGAGACGCAAGACACTTTCTGCCAAAGCCAGATTCCAATTACGCCAGTTGAAAAAACGAGTCGCTAACAGAGGAAACCGATAGGGGAAGAAAGAGCAGCAGACATGTTGACATCTGAAGCCTCTACTACATTCGTTATTGATTATTGTCATCTATTGACAGCAGCATAGGCAAGGACTCATTCCAGCAAGAGATAAGTGAAGAACTTTGGTAGGGTTTGAATGTCAAATGCAGAGGCAGTGCTCAGCAGCTGGTGAAGACAATATGCACGTCCTATCTGACATTTACCTCACTCCCAGCTTCTTCTCCTGGTACATATTTATAACTTGGCTCTTTCTAACCACCAGTCTAGGTAATAATAAAATCAGAATGAGAGCTCGTTATGTTCAATGGAGAAGCCACCAAATGAAACAGAGCAGTAATCAAGGAAGGTGTTCACAGAGAAGCCAGAAGGGATGGAGAACTGTCTTTGAGTGCATGACATGTTACAGTGGAGGGAAACCTGTAGAAAAACTCTAAAAGACAACAGAGTGTTGGCAGGGCATCCTGAAGACACAGTTCAGATCTGAGTAGCTCTTCATATAGCCTTTTTGTGTTAAGTGAGTGAAGGACTCAAATTATTTTGGATAGTACATAGAGTCAAAGAGCCAACCAAGAGCAAACCATTTTACCATCTCATTCTACTTCACTGCTGCTGAGAAGAGAGGAGAGTTTTGACTGTGACAGTATGAAAGAAAGGCCAGAGAGAAGTCATCACTGAACCAGAAATGCCACACACTGTCTGTTAGCTTCATATCATACAAGAACTAGAATCAAATAAGTCTGTGCTACCGCAGACAGTGGAAGAGACAATCAGAAAAACTTAGTGTTGGAAAACAGAATTATTGCTGCTCTATGAGCCCATAGTTCAAACAAGAGAACACCCCACATATTTAATTCTTTCACCTGCTTGGAAAAGGTAACAGGAAGTTGGTTAATTTGATGTTTTAACAAACATATGACTGAATTATTTGCGAAATATAAATAGCAAAGGCACTGCTAGTTACTAAACATTCAGATGGCACCTGCAGTGCTATACATATTTTTCCATTGTGTTTTTATTTAGTATTAATCATTAGTGTTATGTTAGGATTTATAACAAGACTAAGATTTCATTGTGGCCGTGCACAAAATGCATAGGCAAAGTAGCTGACACCACCTACACAGTACATTCTGACTACCCAAGAAAAAGAGTTAGAGAAAGAAGAAAGTCCCAAGATCTTATGTCACAAAACTAAATTTCCCAGTTTCCATCAGAGAAAACTCCACACCAAAACTATCCACTATCTTTCACAGTACATTTGAACACTTTTTTTTTTTTTTTTTTTGAGAAGAGGCAGTAACATGACAAAAATCACACTTACTTGTCAACTTGTACATGTTTTTAGTATCAGAATCCCAGAAACATTTGGGAAGTTGTTGTAACACAAGACTTGAACTATAGTGCATGCTGTTTCCACAGATCTTTTGAAAAATATACTCAGACTCATGTCTTGCCTAAGATTTGCTGCCCAATACAATTATTGGTGCAAGAATTAAAAAAAAAAAAAGTTATTAGAACTAAATTAAGAGCCTGGTAGAGAAAGATGAGTTCTGAGTGTAAGAATTCTATGAATCACTACTTCTAACTCAAAGTCAAGTTTATACTAGAAATCAAAATTCAGTCATTACACGATTGAATGCTATATGTCGAAAAGTCTCTGAAATAATTTTTATGTCCACCCGTGAGAAAAACGTGTTTCCAAATCTAACAGCCAATAGCAGTTCTTTATGATGCATGTTTCTACACTGTTTCTTTCAGTGAGAATTTCTTACCTTTCCTTCATTCCTTTCTCCCCAGAAGAAATACTAAATCAAGGTAGCTGAAATAACCTATTTGAAAGTTCTTGCTTTGATGCATTAAACATAATTTCCTTCTCAGTGTTTTCATCGTAACAAACAGCATCATTACAGTTGGCATTTACCTTATTCCACACTATTTCTATCATAAATTAAAAAAGAGCCATTAGATTTGATGACAGGGCAAGGAAGAAAGTACCTAACTAACATGACAAATTATTTGTGATGATTTTTAAGATAATTCAATTTTGTCTGTACCTAAAATTAAAATAAACAACCCATTTCTCTCAACTGGATCTGGCTTCTCTGAGTACTTTTCACATAATATTTACCCAGCATGACCATTCCAACAGTAGTGGCAAGGCTGCATAACTCTGAAATGCAACTATTTAATTGAAAGCCAGCAGAAAGATTTTGTTTTAGAATTTCTCAAAATGAAAATTCTAATAAAACTTTATGATAGATGGAAAAAAGGAAATACAAATAGAGCTAAATTATTCTCCTATTACGACCTACTTCTCTGTGCTGTCTATGTAAGTTTTTATTTATTTATTTATTTATTTATTTAATTTTTTAAGTATTACTAACAAATGAATTTGGAAGAAACAGAAGCATGTATTTTCTATTTCAACTCAGTCAAACTTTTTCTTCACATCAGCAAAGTAATGCTAATAAATTCAGACAATTTGTATTAATCCAGCTCTAAAGTGTGTTTTGGATGACTCCAGATACTGGATGTTCCTGCATCATACATTCAAAAGTTCTAAACTATTTGTGTTCCAAGCTATCCAACCATTACTCTTCTCCACATTCTTTAATTTATTTGCAGTTTTCCTCTTTAATGATTATTTTTATGATCTGTGCCTTTTTCATCAACTTAGGTTATTGAAAATAAGTGAGTGGCTCAGAATGGTGACTAGGTATACAATATTTTTGAGCACCTACCTACCTGTTGGGCAAAATGCTGAGAATAATTTCACCACCACAACCAGTGATGAATTCTATTGTCCTTTGCCTTTCCAGCTTGTAGTCAATCCTGAAAAGTCAAGTGGTAACAATAATTATGCTCTCTTTAATGTTACTTGCACTGGATACTTTTTATATCCCAGAAATTAAGAGCACAAACGTACACACACAATGCTACTCCGTAAGACTTCAGTCGATTCTTCGGGAAAATAAGATACTATCAGAAATAATGTCAAAATGTAGTGAATGGCTCAGTAGCATTTAGTACTTCTGTTTGTTGCTTGGATATAGGAAAAAAAGGAGAGCTGTTCAATAAACAGAATTATGCCACATTTTACAGTATAACAACAACATAATTTGAATGCTTATTAGGATACGAAAAAAAACTGAGCACTTTATGCATCTTAAAAAACCTGTCCTCTCAGCTCTTTAATGGACAATTTTTCAAGTAAAGCACCACAGCAAATACTCCTAAATTATTCTCATCAGTGAACAACTATGTGTTTTAAGGCTTTCCTTACATGCACAAATCTAAATGGACTGAGATGAGCCACTAATTTCAAAAGCTGTAAATCCTTTGGTCTGAGTATCTGCAGACCTTACTGCATACTTCTGTTGGGTATGATAGAAGTATAGACTATCTCAAGTTGGAAGGGACCCACAAGGGTTGAGTCCAACTCCCGGCTCCACTCAGGACCACCTATAAGTCAGAACGTATCAACAAGTCATTCAGGTGCAGTAAGTTCTGTTTCTCCAAAAATTGTCTGTAAATACTGCATTATTTTTTTCCAGTTTTATTCTCTTACACACATACAGACATAGCAATGCATTTCAGCAACTGCACATAGTTTGAGTCCTTTAATATATGTACATAGGTTATTCCTCATGTAACTGCAGAGAAGTATAGTGGAACTGCTGTAGGAGCAAAGTATGGCTAATACTGGTGTGAAAATCAGACTGTGGCCCTTGACTTGTCCAAATTAACTAATGAGCTGCAGTACCAGATTTTAAACTGCTGCTCTTGAAAAGTAAATTTTATACTAACTCAAGACCGACCCAGTGAGGGGAAAGCAATAATCATTAAATCACATTTAAAACATTTCTGACAGGTGAATCTTGGCACAAACTGGAAAGCAGAGAATCATCTCAGGGATTTAAAACTCTGACCATATCCAGAAATTTATACGAGCATCAAGACTTGGTTACCTGACTTTCTTTCAAATCAGTTAAAGTCTCAATAGAATCAAAGCTGAATCCACTCAACTTTCTGTTTCGGAGAGTTTTGATGTCATCAGAGGCTTTTCCCACATATAGAAACCTGGAGATAAAAATACAGTTTTAAAGCACTGGAGTTTAATGGCATAAGTTTTTTCTCTACCAGCTCTCTAGCATAAAGACCTCAGCATAGTTATCTCTGCATTTTTTACTTACTTTATTTTACTGTCATTCTTACCAAAACGTAGCATTAAAAATTGATAATTCTTAGGATTTACCATGCCTCCTTCTTGGTTGTCAAAGTTCAATAGAAAAAAATATACATACTTCAGTAGATGGCAGAGTATAAACAACTTAAAAAACCACATTGTCTGAAATTGTTCTACCTCCAACTTAAGGTGAAACTTTCATGCTCAGTACTCAGTAGAAAGAAGTCTGGTTTCAAAATCACTTCAAGTAGACATCAAGCACCTGCTCATTTGTAAAATAAAGCAAAATTGCAAGAGGTTGTCAAACTTGGGCTTGAACTGAAATAAGATCACTAAAAGGGTTACACAGATGGAAGAACATCAAAAGCCCAAGAGGTAAAACTTGATTCAGAAATCAAATAACTAAGTGTTTTAGAGTATTTACCTGTCTTCTATCAAGTTAGGTAAGAAATTAGAATTATTTCAGCATAAGAAATCAAATTTTTTGTAGAATGAAGCAAGACCTGAATTTTTGGGTCTACGCAGATAAGCAGAAGTAAGGAAATGGCCAACTATTTACTAGGAAAAAAATAAAAGTGGGGGAGAAAAAAGAAAAAGAAGCCTCTAGGGGCTTATTGTAGAAGTCTTCTGAGGCAGCTAAACTCCTTTCATATATAGGTGCATGATACTTTTTCTGCATTTTTCACTTGAGAAAACAAAAAACACCACCACTACCAAAAGTAAAATTATCAAAAAAAAAAAAAAAAACCAAAGCAAAAGCATATCAATTTTCAGGGTAACTCATGTCCTCCAGACCCACATATAAAACAGCACAGTGCTGTGCGTAAGGGCTGAAGCAGGAAAGGATTTTTACAAATCCTATGGAAAATAGCACTAAACCAACGGATGGATTTGAATTTTAAATCCCAATCTCAGTTTCCTTTGGTATTAGAAAATACATTGGAACTCATCCAAGAACAGTGTACATTTGAATAGATGGTTGGATTTCTGCCATCAATTTAATTTAAAAAAATAATAAAAAGACAGAGAAAAAAACAAAATCTGGAAGCTGAAACTGAAACTTTGCATGATACATTGCTATTCAAAAAAAAAAAAAAAACCCCCAAAAAGCATCAGAAAAATCAAAAGTGAAAACACACAAAAAAAAAAAAAAAAGAGGAAAGGGGGTCTGGAAGTTGAAGAAGCAGTATGATCACAGATTAAGCTCCAAGGCAGAAAAACAGCTGAAACAGATCTCAATATATCAAGTCCCATAATTATTAGCGTATCAAATAAGGTTTGTTCAATGGTGTTCTGAACTTTGAGGTCATGGTTCCCTGGCCAGAGCAGAAACCTCCCTGTATATCCAAAACACTGTCAGGACAGAGGATTTGTACACACCTAGGTCTCCGTGGACTAGATCCCAACATGGAGAGGGTGAAAATGCAGTTCTAGATGCACAGAAATTCTCATAGATATAGCTATTTATGCAGTGCACCTGAGGTTCTCTTGACAGAGCTGTCCCAATTTCTATAAATAATTCTCTAGCTAAAGGAGATTGATTCTGTGCTTAGGCTGTTCTTGCATATGATTTAATTTGGACATTCTACTACTTGCAGTGTATAGCCCTACAGATGTAATGGTTATTCTGAGATGCCTTTTTTATTCCCCCTTTCCCTTTTTATTTTGTTCAAGATACACTTGGTAAGATTTAAGACTAATCACAGAAAGGACAATGATGTAAACACTTTGAAAACACATGAAATCCATGCATATTACAAATGGTTTGTTTTGTTTGTTTTTAATATTACATTGAAATTCCCATAGCAGAATGAGCCAGCAACTTTGAAACTGTTTTGTGTTTTTATCTTGGGTTTTAGAAAGTGTGGAAGGACTTAAGGCTAAAGACAAGGGTATATTCAGATGGTCTTTTTGAAAGTTTGAAGTAAAAGTCAGTATAAGAAAAGAGCCCATCCCGAACTTGACATCCCCTGCAAGTCATCACCTTTAAAAGGAAAGTCTGCGTTTACCATACAGACTTCTTCCTGAACTCCAGCCTAATATCAAAGTAATTACACTTCATTTCAGCTCCCCTCAGTACATATAGAGGAGGGACAGAAGGCTTTGTTAGAGGGAAATTTTCAATGAGAGAAACAAGGTCAGTACTTAACAGGTAACACTCCCAATTGCTCTTCCCTGTTTTTACAATCTCAAGCCCTTGATAGAAGTCAACTTGAAAATATCTACAGAGGGAAAGCTAAAGAATGGTGTCAAGGCTACAAAAAAAAAGTTTAAAATGATGAATAAAAGATGAAGTACTAATGATACATAACAGCCATCAGGCAACTTCGGGTTGTTCAATTCTTAACCCAAATAATTTTTTTGCACACACATCTGAACATTCCCACATACATTTCCAAAAAATTTGGCCTGAATTAAGGAGGAAAAAAAGTGTCTGGTTAGGAACACTTACAACACAACTTAACCTATAACATAGGAGCCCTTTACCTCTCCATTTTTCAGAGAAACGTTCTGCTTGGTGATTTCTGATGGGCAATTCTAGTCCACATTTTCTCTGAGTCCCTGACATATACTATATGTGACAATTACTCATGTCAAATGAGTTTCAGTGCTATTTTTAACAGTGTCTGCTCAGCACAGTAAGCAGTCTTTTTTATCATAACAGTGCATAGAAGACAATACAGTGATGTAAAAGACAATGTAACTTACTTCACCAGGACTTTTCTATGTGATTAGGAAACTTCAAATAAATACACATGCCTTCAAATAATTTAATTTTAAAGCATGTCCTGTTTCATCGTTTGATTATGGAGCAGAGTTAAAAAGAAGTCCACTGTTGAAAGGCAAATATCCACATATGCTTACCTCCAAATTAGTATTTATTCACACTTGGAATCTAAATTTCCATGTATAATACTCTTGAGTCTTGAGCTGGAGCTTCTTTTAAATAAAAACCTATCCTCAAAGTACAAAGCTGTACTATAAACTACAAGTTTACAGTACTAACACTCAACTGCAGAGAACTTATGAGGTTAAGGTAATGGTACCTAATGGTATTTACTGTATGAAGTATTCAATTCAAGCAGAATTTGTTATTGGCTTTAGAATTAGCTGTGGTGCTTCTGCTCATGTTAAAGCAGCTTTCAGTTCCTGCCAAAATTTACATTAATTTGTATTCTAGACGCCTCAGATTTTTAAATCAGAAAATGTTATTCTGTCCGGATAGGCAACTAAAAAATCTGTTTCCTTTATAGGGAAAGTCCTCTAAGTATACAATGAAAGGCTCCATATCTTTTTTGAAACTCCACCTAAAGCTTCCAAACAAAAAATCCGAAAGAGTAATACATACTTTTATCATTTTGATAAAAGTATGCAGGTAGCTCAAGAGAGCTACCAAAAAATACAGAAAAGTAAAGCTACAGCCTATGACACCTGCAGTAAAGTCCTCTCTTATGATTTTGTTACCTTGAGCTACTTTCAACGAGGCATGTAAGTTTTAGGGGGAGTTGCTCATTTTGCACACCCCAAAAATAGTAAAGAAAAATTTAAGTGAAATCTTCAATAAAGTGAGGAGCATTAATATTTCACAAGTCAATAAGTGTTTTTTTGTTTTTTTTTAACAGGCAAATGCATTTTCTTCTAAATTAAGTTTAACTTCATAAAACCTGTGTTACTGTCATCTGCCACACAAGTAAAGATGCACATTTTTACTTAAAACATTACTGAATTTCTAGAAACATTTATTATTATTTGAGCTCCATACATCTAATCCTCTTAGGAGTGTCAGCTGATTATTTTCATTATCCATCAGGAGAATGATGGTAATAAAAAAATCAAAACTTGATTTCTGTGTCCTGGAAAGGTGCATGGTGTATATCAAAAGGCAATAAGTTGCCTATGAAGTATTTCATTTCTCTAAAATAAATGTCTTGTATTAGTTATTTCTCAATTTCATGGAAGTTAATGATCATGGCTACAGTAAACAAGCAACATAATTCAAACAGCAGGTAGACAAAGATTAACTCCAACTCCTGGTCCTTTTTCCTCAGCCCAGAAATTTTCCTGAAGTCTTTTCCTCTCGTTAGATTAACATTTTCTTAGTTCATTTTGTTCTTGTTTCAGTGTTTATATTTGTAATTTTGGCTTAAACGCAACTATGTTCTGGTCAACACCAAATGAGAGTCAAAAGTAAAAATGAATGAAGGTTTGCAAATCTTTGAGACAACTTTTCAGAGGCAGTTGGGAAGAAGGAGATGACATGATGAAAACAATAAAAAAAGATTAGCTTTAAACTCATTTGTTTTGTATCACAATTGGCTAAATGCCATCTTTTTTTTAAGATTTGTCTTATACCTGATAAGGCTACTTTGATCAGCAAGAATAATTATAATTAGATGTGAAAATTACAAGGGTCATATTTTGCTAATGTAATACTTTGCTGACTTAGAACTTATCTAGAGACATCAGACTGCACATCACTTATTCACTTTCAGACATTCTGACTTCTTTCAGCCAAAGTATTCTTACATTCACAACTGCCAATTTGTCATGTGCAGTTGAGTGTGTAAATTTTCTTGAATAATCAGATTGTGTATTTTTTACTTTCCATTCTTACAAATACATACTTGAAAATTCACTCCTTCTTACCCAGCATTCACTTAGGCGTATGTCTAAACTTTGTGCTTTCTTCAGATACTAATTCCACGCCTAATTAAATCTTCTTGAGCATGCCACAGTCATTCAGCATTTTCAATAGCTTGCCCACAAAGTAATTTCCTCCTAACTGCCTCATTCCTGCAGAGATTTGGAAAACGCCCGATTTTTTTCAATTTTATTTTAGCAGATCTGAATAATCTAGAGCTTTAACATGCAGAGTCACTTATTGTAG